TACAAGTTGTCTAACTGTGACGAAAAGGTTTTATTGGGATAAAGATCCCACATTGAAAATATGAATTGGACATGAATAATATATATATAGGGATTTGAGCCAATTCACTAATTACCAATTGATTTTAAGTTGGAAGTCCAAGAAACTTAACATGGTATCAGAGCAGCCCCACACCCACCCATTAATCCATCGCAGAAAGTGGCCTGCATCCCATTAGCTGATGGTCCATAGAAGGTTCAGTTCCGTCGAGAATGCTAGAGAGAAAAAAGCATTTGTTTCCTCTGAGATTACAACTACTGTTTGAAATTGGAAATTAGTATATTGATCCAAGTCCCTTATATAAATTACTCAAGTCCATTTCATATTTCCAATATGGGATCTTATCCCTAATAGGTTTAGTTTTCGCATCAAGGGCTGATGAGGCATAATGATAGTTTTGTATGCTCACCATGACCTTCAAGATAAGGTTATTGAGGTAATTCAGTTATCTTTCTTCTTACATTTTAGGTAACTGTAAACTCGTTACAACAAATCTATCTTGCTTTTGCACTCATTTTCTTGTATTTTTTTGTATTTCAGGTGTTTGCAGACATGGAGGAGCTGAAGGTGTGACCGTACGAAGATACAACAAAGAGAGTAGCGCGCGTTTTCAGAGAACTCGGCCAGGAAGAAAAGCAGAAACTGAATCTCACGAAGTACCTCTCTGAATTCAAATACATCTACTTTAATGGTGAAAAGGTTAGAGTCAAAAGATATTAATCTGAAGAAGTTTGATTTCATTCTCATTGAACGATCATATATATGTATATAGTACCCCAAAGTCCTTACTTATGTGTAAAATTGTCGTTATTAATGCTTATTAGAGAGAATAGCTAGTTCTCTCTAATAATCATCACCATGCTTCAAAGTTATGAATTACTGATTTGAAAACCTCAAAGACTATCTTCCCTACTTATCAAGGTTATTCTAAAATTGTCGTTATTAATGCTTTTGGTTACTACTTAGTACAAAAATGCTTCACAATTTGGTCCTAAAGTGATTATTATGTCACTTCATCATTGAAAAACAACAAGCATGGACAAATACAAGACTTTATGAAACTTCAATTGCCACATTACAATCATGATGATCATCTGCATAACAGTGTCACTCTTCCTCTTCACAATTAATGTTACTTCCATCTATCTTTATCCGTACTTCAACATTATTCTTCACCTAACCATGATCACTCTTATCCGTCTGATTATACTCCCAGGACAAACACATGATCAATATTATGCAAGTGGCCCTCACATCTCACTATTTGTTTCAATTCGCCATCAATCACAAAATCAAACCACTGTCTCATCTCTTGGTAGTTGGTACAATAGAAAATTAAGTTAAAAAGGGCAAAGAGTAACTCAACTGTGCCCTCCATCTCAACCTTTGTTTCAATCCGAAATCCTTTAAATAGTCTATTAACACCGATCTGATTGATTTGGACATAAGGTTCTCTCTGAACAAAATGTTAAATTTTTTTTTTCTGGAAAACTATAATAACAGAAGTATCACATTACATTTTTTGGTAAAGAGTATCACATTACATACCTTTGCAGGTCCGAATACTGTAAAAAATAGAGTATTATTAAATTTGTTTCCCTCATGTCTTTCAGAAACCTTTGCAGGTTGCTATCATGGCTGAAGCTCTCGTTCCTTATCATTTTTCTTCTATTCTTCATATCTCAAGTACTGTTACTATCAAACTCAATGATATTAAATCATGTTCGTTATGACTCCGCACATATATATGCCACCTTAGTACTACTACTGTTTGAGATTTTGAGCGATGGAGTAGATGTTGCATTCTTACAAATATTTAAGGCTTAAAATTTATTGGTTCTGAGAGTAGATATGGAGCCATCTCGATCCAGATGGTTAACCAAGCCACATAGGAAGGAAAGGAGCATGCAGCTCAATTCGGGTTCTAGGGGATGAGAAACTTAATGTGTTTCAGATTGGAGAACAACATCTGATCTGGCTGGGTACATGAGATGAATTACACAGTCTTTAGCACAATTATTTATTAACAATACTAAGGTTGGGCATGGGCATTCGGCTGTCCGATCGGGTTTGGTTTGAGTTCAACCAGGTTTCGGTTGGGGGCATGAAATTTAACTAAAAATTCGTATATTATTAAAGTTGAGTTCGGATTCGGTTCAGATATACTAACACATCATAAACCCATTTGAATTTAACTTTTAGATTCAGGATCCTAAATGAGGATGAAACAGTGGTGATTCTAACACAAGTGAGGTATGTATCAGATTTAAAGAGAAACCTTATCTCACTAGGATCATTGGATTTAGGGATGGACATTCAGGTACCCATTCGGGTTCGGTTCAGGTTTACTCGGGTTTTGGGTGTTCGGGGTAAAATTTTAGCCCTATTCAGGTATTTAGAAATTTTGGTTCGGTTCGGATCTCTACGTGTTTGGTTCGAGTCCATTTAAATTATTATTAAAAATTTAAAATTCATATATACTTTATTTTTTTCAAAAAATAACAATTAAAAGAATAGATAAAATATAAATTTGAATGATGTATGCTAAAATGTCTAAACTTAAGACAAAATTTGGTTTAACTTAAATATTTAGATGGGGGATAAATAGATATTTTAAGTATTTTGGTATTTGAGTATTGTTTTAGCTATTTAACTATTTACTTTTGAATATTTGTTATATTTTCAAATATTTTAGACAAATTTCAAAATATTTTATACATTCTGGATATTTTTCTTGATACTAAATCTACAAATAGCTAACATATTCAAGTATATATATCTGATTTGGATATATTTGGATATCCAAAATATCTTGGTTCGGATCGGATCGGATTCGATTCCGGGTCTTTAAAAACCAAAAACTTGAACCCCTTCAGGTATTTAACAAATTTTGATTCAGGTTCAATACTACTTTTTTGGATCAGATTTGGTTCGGTTCTTCGAGTTCATATTTTTTCCAAGCTCTAACTGGATTCACAGGATTGCACGTATAGAGGTTGAAATTGAATCTTGAAAGTGCCAAAAGGTTGCAGAGATTTTCTAAGAGGGAAATAGTCTGACAGTCTATACTTCCTACGAGGCAAAGTTGTTGAGACGGAAGTTCTCATGACAAGAATGATGAAACTTCACTGTGGCACAGCAGGTTAGGCCACATGTGTCAAATAAGGGCTACAACTGCTGGTGAAAGAAGGGTACATTGAAGGTGAAGGTGTCATCTCTTTATTTCTAGGATGACATCATATATCCCTACATCTGGTTTTGGTTACCCAAATACTTATTTAAAATTTACAATTGTTTGGATATCTCCTTGGGCTCGAATTCAGTTCGGATAAAACTCATAACACAAAATATCGTAAAACAATATCCATTGGATATTTATAGTGGATTTGATTTACATTTATTTTTATCGGATTGAGTTAGGTTTTGATTTTTGGATTTAGTTTATTTGCCACCCTTAAGTCAGGTGATTAGTATACAAGCTCCGCTCATAAATTTGATGGACCCTGTACAAAATATATATAGTTGATTAAATTATGCATATATTAATATTTTAAAGGTGCTTTCCCAAAAAAAAAGTCTTAATTTATATTTTTTTTTTGTTATGAGTAATCATTTTGGATTTTTTTTTAATAAGAAAACTAGAACTTAACCCGTATAACTGTGCGGGTATTTTTCATATTTTATGAATTAAATTTAAGATAGTTTATGTTTTCATTTATATTTTATATGGTATTTTTGTTCATATTGCTATTAAAATTTTAAGTAATGTTTACCATAATATAACTTATTTTCCGTTGGATAGATTTTATGGTTGTCATTTTAGCTAATTAATTATAATATTTTTTATTTTTATATTTGAAATAGAAATTAATATTTTCTGACATCATATTTTAAAAAATTATTTTTCAAAATTAATAAATTTAAATTCTACTTATCATTAAATATAATTAAAAATATTTCATTTTTATTTTTGTTTTTAAATCAAACACATTAATTTAAATTTTTAATTATATCTTATGGTTATTAGATTTAAGTTAGTTGATTTTCGGAAATCATTTTAAAAGATTCTAAAAAGATTTTTAAAAGGTTTTGTTAGATTTGTTTTGGAAATATTTATTTATTTCAAAAAAAAATATAAGATATCAGAACTTATAATTAAGTTAGATAAAATTTGATAAAAATTCTAAATGATGATCCAAAAAAAAATATCACGTATGAAGGAAGTGATGACTACTTTAATAGTATGTAGATTACAAGAAGCATCACTACGACATCAAATATGTCAGTACAACAATTCAACTAATTAATAACGCACTTATAGACATAGTTGCTATTTAAACAAAGTAAACACATTAGTGACATCATTAAACATATTCACTCCGTTTTATATTAAGTGTCATACTAGCTAAAATTTTATGTTACAAAATAAGTGTCGTTTTCAGTACCAGATTTATTAATTTTATTATGCAATTTATTTTTCTATTAGTTGAATTATGGTTAGATGTATGGATAATTGTGTTTTATATAGAAATATATAAAACTAATTATTTCTCTAATTTGTGTGCATAAATCTTAAATGACACAAAAAGATAGAAATATACTTTCACATTAACATAAGAAATTTAGATAAGTGTAGAAAGCATCGACACAACATGTGTGGAATAAATTTATATATATTACATACTTATATATAACATTGGATTAGCTTCATAAGAAATTTAGATAAGTGTAGAAAGCATCGACGACACAACATGTGTGGAATAAATTTATAAATATAACATACTTATATATAACATTGGATTAGCTTCATTTTGCTCATTCCTTAACCACCCCTAGTTTTATTCACTCATCATCCCTTCATGCTTCAGCCAATCTTACCTGCATAATACATGAAATAAAAAATGATGTTAAAAACAATCTAACAATAGAAAATTTGACCGAAGTACTATATATTTGTTTTCTTACACCAACTGAAGAGCTATTTGGTCTTGGCGACCAGCAGATGAGTAATGTTGATTGTTAGGTTGCAATGCCGCGACTTGGAAATAGTTCCGTGAATCAAACGGCTGAGGGTGCGTTTGAGGCGGTGTTATAATATGCTCGTAGTTAGATCCTCCTGGCATCAGATTCATACTTGGATTGTTCCTCTCATTTTCAGCTATCTATATACCACATATATATTTAACATCTTCATCTTTATAATCAATTTTTTGATGATATATTTGTTGAAACAAATCGTTGGCAATATAAAAAGCACAAAAACAGGTAATGTACAAATTACCTTTGCACGAAGTAGCTGGTTATCGTTATGCAAATCAACTTCCTGCACAAACTTTCATTACAGATAAGCTAAATTATCGTATATACAGATTGAAATAAAATAGATGTAGCATCTTTTCTTACTCTCTTTTGCATGTAGTCAATTTCGGCGAATAAGAGTTCATTCTGTAAAAATATTTAAATAAAAAAATAACTTATAAATGTAGGCAAAGTGAATATATATAAATAAATAATTTCCTAGGAAGTAATTTGATTTTGCAGGATTAATTAGATACAATTACCTTTTTGGATCGTATTCGGTTGATACTTCTGTCCAACCTGCCTTCCAAATTCCTAAGTTCCTTGGGTGACATTGACCCTATCGTCTCACCCATCAATTGCCTAATTAATTGTATTAAAAGTATTAATATATCAGATAGTTTATAACAATTAGTAATATTTCAAGTCATTAAGATAATATAACCTGTTCGAATTTTGTATACTGATAATCTGTTGACGCAACTTGGCCGATTCTTGTTGATAATACTTGAAAGAAAAAGAAAAAAAAGTATGAAACTGTCATATTAATACACAATTGTTTTGCAAAATATCTTGAAATCATCTGCATAATGTTAAAATTACCTGTGCGTTAATTTCTGCCACAGATCCAGTGTTAGAATTATCCGAGATTGCCTTCTTGTACCTCTCAATTGTCCTTTTGACACTGCAATTTTTTATAAGGAATTATTAACTCAATTAGAAGTATACCCATACAAGAAAAAGTATACCCATACAATTTACACTTAAATTAGAAGTATACCCATACAATTTACACTTAAATTAGAAGTATACCCATACAATTTACCCTTAAATCAGCATTTCAAAAAATAAGAAAAAGTAGTTATAAAGGTCAAATCGGCCACTTTCTCAGTTAAGTGATTGTAATACGAAACCTTAAAAGCAAACATCGGTTCTTTTGAGTCAGAACAAATGAAACATAATGTGACACATGGTGTGAAGAAGAAAAAAAAAAGTAGATATAAGAAAACAGTTAAACTGCTGATAAAATATTCCTTAAGTTGTAACAAATAAAGAATGATTTTAGAAAACTAATAGGAACTCTCTGAACCTTAAATTTATCGAGCTAGTGATTGGCTGCAACTACCACGCTGGCACAATTAGAGAGACGAGATTTGCCTGAATTGTGTCTAGGGTTTCAGACATGTGACACGCATCGAAAACCCATTAAACATTGGTAAATCCAGTAGACATTTAAAAGTTTTCAATTGTTAACCACTGGATTAATTTAACTGTGATGTAACCAAATGACATCTCCGAGTAACATCACAACGTTTCAGAGTTTCCTTATTTGGAATACAATTACATTACCTATTTACTATTCTACCCATCTTTATTCTCTTTTTATTTTGAAACACACCCATCTTTATTCTCTTTTTGAGTTTTCTGTATACATCTAAAATATTAAAACTGAAGTACAAATTTGAATTACCCTTTACTTTTCCTTAATAATTACATCCTTATGCCACTGAATTTATTTGTTATTTATTAAATTAAAATACCTTAATAAAATGAATATTTCACCTACATATTTATAAAGAACTAATCTGTATAGGAATTCTAATTATGAGAATTTTTATTTTTATAGTGCAATACTCATTGTCAGCCTTTTAATAAATACATATCTAAAAAAATAATTGCAACTAACCAAATAAGTTAAGTTATTAAAACTAAAATTAATGTTTATTAATAATTTCAAAATATTTATTCTTTACATTTAGAAATATGTATAATAAATGTGCATAAACTTATAATAAAAATATCTACCTATTTATTTATTATTAAGAACACAAAAATATATTCAACATAAATAATAGATTATTATAATATAATAAATAATATGTAAACAAAAAAATAAATGATAGTTTAAAACAATTAATAAAATTGATGCATATAAACTATAAAACCATATTAAATATTGTAAGCATCAAAATATATATAATTAATCATGTATGAATCTTTTTTTTTAACAATATATTTTGTAAACACCCGCACGTCGGAATCTCGTATACATATATATATACATACATCTTCTCTATTAAAAGAGAAGTACCAAATTTATCTACTATTTAGAAGTCATGTTGGACAATGTCATTAGTTATTTAATATGACATATTTGGTTGTTACTTAACCAATCAAATATATATTATTTTCAAAATATCTTAATAATTAATAAGGATATTAATAATAAATCAATTTAAATATAACAAAATCTGTTGAATAAAATCTAACAATATCTTACCGAAAATTTTAAATATTTTTCTATAAATAACTATTTCTTTATTTTTTTATTAAATATAATTATCAATTAACTTTAATTAAAAAATAAAAAATAAATCATATATTTAAAAACTTTAGTTATATATTTATTAAATAAAAATATACCCGCACGGATGTGCGGGTCAAACTCTAGTTTACATTTTAAGTACGATATTTTTGGGTGCAAAACATATTTAGTACGATGACATATCATAGACCATGATGTCTGAACTTTTGGTGGAGGAATCATGGCCGTCCATTCTGGAATAACAGAAGGCTGAGCAAAGACTTTTTTCAAAAAAAAAAATACAAAAAGTCTCACTTTTTTCTGCCCATACGGAGAGAAAATGAGAAAATGAGAAAAACCCTAATTTTCTCTCACTAGACAACAAAAGAAAAGAAAGAGAAATTGCATAAATGTATATACACAAAAGATGTTGAAGCAATTCCAATGGCCTACTACTATACCAAACTTACTGATTCAGTGATCATACATCTTTTTAGTTCATAGATAGATGAACTAAATGAAGTATTATCCTTATTACTTGTCTCTTTTTGTTGTACACATAACATGATTTATTTTTTCTATTAAGCTTTCTTGGGAGCAATAATTATATTGGGTATTGACCAAATGTGAAATCTAATATTAAATGGTCAGAAGTAGTAATATGAGACTTTTGAATTTATAAGTAATATGCAAATTAATTCATTATGACATAAACCTTCTTGTCAGAAGTCAAGAACTGAACTAACAAAACTTTATGCTACTAGTAATAAATATAAGTGATAAATAAAATAAAAAATATCTGTGTGATGACGTGATCAAAGACTCTGTAACAAAGATAACAAATCTTACCGAGACCAAACCCAATATTGCGCTCAATACCAACCTATTGAAATCTTCAAAAACGAAACTAGCTCCGATTACGTTTACTACCCACTGGATATTAAAAAATTGTTAGGTAATAAGATAAATTTTGATTGGTTTATTTAAAGTCAGTGACAAAAAAAAGATTGGTTTATTTAAAGTCATTGTTAGCATTTCTATCTTTGGACATAATGAGCATTATATTCTCTCTATTTCATTGAAGTGTCACTTTAGAAACAAATAATTTTACATATTTTTTATATAAAACACAATTACCCATATACCTAGTCATATTTCAACCAATAGAAAAATAAATTACATAATAAAATTAATAAATTTTATATTGAAAACCGAAAACAATACTTATTTTGTAAGGAAAAATTTTCTCTGCAAACAACACTTAATATGAAACGGATGGAGTATATTTTAGAACGTGAGTTGACAACTGTAAAAAAATAGAAAAAGACTTTTATAACATCATTTAAATCACGTGAATCTTAATATAAAATGGAAAGTACGTGCAAATTTAGAGGTTACTAGTTTGAGTGATGTAATTCAAAATGTCTTTTGATTTATCTTTATATTTTTTTTATAGTATTTTAAGGTAAAAAAGAGACCAAATGAGCTAATTTTCTTAATTACCTCCTTGTTTTATTTGGAATCTTGAAACTCTATTGAATTCCAAAATCTTTTATGAGCTGGAGTTGAAAATTTTCTTTCTTTTTGCTATTACTGTTTCTAACTAATACCAAAACTCACAGATATTTGAATTCCGTAAATTTTTTTTTTTGAGCAATTGAATTCCGTAACTAGAAAACAAATAAAACTTAAACATTCACAAGACAAGAACCTTATAAACATATTGTCCTACTTCTACTTCTATCACTGATAAGTTAAATAAACATTCAATTTCACCTTTTTTACTCTCATTTACAGTCACATGTGGTTGCATCATATATATGATATGATAATTCATGAGAGAGAAAGAGGTAAAGATAAGAAAGGAAAGTAAGAGAAAGAAAAGAAGCAAAAGAGAGACAGACATTAACAACAATGGAGGATGGAGATGATCACAGAAACAGAAGATATGACCTCATAGTCCTTACGCTCCCAATTTGTTTCCCAAAACTTACTTTTATAGTAATAAAAATCAAGATTTTACCTATTACAACACCAGATCTATAAATATATCTAATTATTGAAGTACTTGTTAATAGGGGAAATAGAAAGTTATTAAGATATTGTATTATTTTATACATATAACAGAAATGAGTGAAGAAAGAAACCCCAACAAAGTGAATCTTAGTTCTACAAACCTGAATCTAAAACTCCACTTTAGAAAACTCTGATTATTTCTTATTTTCTTTCATTTATCATCTGCTGTCTCTCACTAGATCTCCATAGCTTTATACTATTTTCATCACTCTATACATAACATGTTTTCTACTTAAAAATTCTTTAGTCTAAAGAGAAAAGAGACACACGAGAAGAAATCAGATCTAGAAAAATAGAACAAAACATGAATAAAATCCCAAAGTAATTAACATAAACATATATACGCAAGTCGCAACAAAGATTCTCACAAAGGTTTAGTGTGTTCGTGTGTGTATATGGAATATCAAGAAAAAAAAGTGAAACATAATCCTACCCACAAGAGGGTTAAAACAATAAAAACTAGCACCGAAAAAAATCTAGCAAAGAAGATCGAAAACCCTAGTAAATAATCGAGCTTGAACATAACCCTAAATCAAGATTTAAGAGTAAACTACTCTATTAAAAAATAAGAACAGAGCATAAGAAGAAACCTGTTGTTTGAGTACTCATAGAGACGGCCACGGCTAGAGAAGACAATGAGTGCGACTTCAGCATCACAAAGAACAGAGAGTTCGTAAGCTTTCTTTAGCAAACCATTTCTGCGTTTGCAGAAAGTGACTTGACGGTTTGTTGTGTTTTCGATCCGTTTGATTTCGATCTTTCCTCTCCCTGCAGTTTTCCTCTGTGGAGAGGAATCTCCTCCTCTCTCCATTTGGTAGGCCATGTTTGCTGCTACAAAGGAAAATCATTTAGGGAAAGTTGATTAATCCAAAAAACAAGAATCCAAGAAAACCATCAACAAAGGTACTTGAAAACGGCTCCATATTTGTTATGTTTTTTGTTCATTTTAGTCTCTTGTCGACACACAACTAGAGCAAAGAAGTAAACTCTTTATATCTCAATCTTCAAACAAGAGTTAACCATAGGGTTTTGATTTATTTGGTGATTATTGTGAGATGAATGATGAAAAAAACAAGAAAACTAAGTAATTAAGACCAAATCTTTGAGACTTGAAAACAAAAGAACAATTATATCTTGACTGTGAAAAGACAATTTTGAAGAGCAAAGAAGATGGGGGAATATTGAGTATTGAATCTTGTTTCTATATAAACAACACAAAAATAATCAATTAGAACAGGTAAAAAGGAAAGTAAAGAACATAGATTTGGTATAAGGACCAAAAGAAGTGAAGCAAAGTAATATTATGAAGAGGATAATGTTTGAAAGGATTGGGGAATAGACTGACCTGTTGGGAAGAGGGGGAGATGAACAAAGAGAAAAGGGTTTATTTCTCTTGGGAAAATGATTTTGTGGAAAGTATGAGATTTGGAGAAGTTGCAGAAAATGGAAGGTAAGGTTGTGCTGGCGAGGAGATGGGTATATACATTTATAAAGGAAAAATGTTTTTCTTTTAATTTTCTCTAATTTTAACACCAAAAATTGCCAGCTTTTACATTCATATAGTATCTTCTCAAGCTATGTTGAATGCTGTTTTTACTCACTAAAGCATGTTCTGAGAGATAACTAATTATAATTCTATTGTGAAAGACTCAGATTTTTGACTTAGTATGTGTACTTGGTTGATATTTTGTGAGTCATTAATTTTAAATGGTACTCATTTTCAGAAATTTTGGATATGTTAAGTTTAAAAAGGATTGACAGAGAGCAATCTAAAGGCTCACTTCAAAGCATGAGTGTATAACGGGAGCTTTTGAAATCACATGAAAAATAATTAATAAATAGAGGGTTAATTACCATAAATAACACCACCATACGTCTAGTTTTTTTTCATGAAAATAAGACTTATTTTTGCAAATCGAGAAAACTATTGAAAAAGGAAGTGAAATGGAGGAAAAAGTAGGTTTTATTGGTGGATAGTTTTTGTGTGGTCTTTCAAAAAAGTCTAAACGAAAATAAGGTTAAAATAGGCAATCACTCATGAGATGCAGACTATACTTACCAGTACTCTTTTTTTTTGTGCAACTACTTACCATTACTTGTCTTTCCTTTTCATGTGAAAGTTTTTGAGGCACTAAAAGCTTTGGTAAATCTGAGTATTGTAATTTATTTGCTACAACAAATATTGATTTCTTTCTTTGTTTTTACAGAATTTTGATCTTTTAAAGGAGGAAAATTTATCAGCTCTCTTCCTTTTTTTTATTTTAAAAAATTTGGTGCCTAAGATTTTATTGACATTTTGCAGGAAATTTTTGTTTCACTAAATGCAGTATAAATTCTATAAATAAGGAGTTGTATTTGTTCAAAAAAAAGGAGTTGTATATATTATTAAAAATTATTTATATACATATATATATATTTATTTATGCTGTCAACTAACATTGTCCTTATTTGATATATTTAATATCATTTTGCAAGAATAATTTTCCAAGATGTATTTTTAACCACCGAACGCTATAGTCCAGTTGGTTTAAGTAGAGTTGGTGTTGTTACACTCCTGATTCGAAGCCCAGTGGAAAAGGGGTTTATGTTATATCTTGGTGTATAAAAAAAAAGAGTATCTCTTGCAAAGGAGATTATTTGGAAGTGTATAAAAAAAAAAGAGTATCTCTTGCCAAAGGAGATTATTTGGACATAAGGCCAATACAAGTCTTGGTTAATAAAAATGTCTTTTTAGTAGTAACCAAAAGCTAAATATAATTTTACTAAGAAAACAACTTCAAATGTTGATAAAAAAATTGCAACGAACTGTTCTATTTAACAAACTGTAACTAAATGTTATTAATGCTATTTTTCATATATATGAACTGATTCCCCATTGTGTATAAATAGAAACAAATATGAAGAATTCAGTAATCATCTATATATTTGGGTAAACTGAACTTTAGTGAGTACCAGTATGTTTCTCGTTTTTTTCTGGAATCAAAATATGTAAGAAAAGAGAAAGAGAAAAAACTCAGATTGTGAAGGAAAATAACGTACGTCTTATGTGTTACTGAGATTGGAGTCTATGATGTTTACCTGTTGTGATATTGACATTATACATAAAATAAGATAAAATTAATTAGATAATAAGTATGTAGGGTTTTAGGTTTATAGGGGAAATAGTGAGATGAACCGTACTTTAATGAGGCTGGACAAGACGTATGGCTTAATTTGGAAAGTTATTTAAGTGTAATGCTTCTGACTGAGTTAGAAGGGTAACCAGATCTTTCATATCTCTCTCTCTCTCTCTCTCTCTCTCTCTCTCTCTCTCTCTCTCTCTCTCTCTCTCTCTACATTTTATTTTTGACGTTTTTTGCTCTTCAATTGTAAGTTTTATTTTCTATTGACATCTCATTTTTCAGTTGATTTAAACGGAAATGCTTTTGGGAACAAAGAAATCGGAAATTGACAAAATATAGTCAAAGACTCAAACTGTAGAGTTGATTGTTGTTCGTTCATACTGATTGATTATGTTCGATGGTTAATAACTGATAAATTTTCATAATTTTTCTCTCTAGAGAAAAGGATAAAAGTAAAAAACAAGAAAAAACAAGAGAGAGAGAAACTTTTCTCTCTAGAGTCTCTCCCACAAAGCCGCCCTAATTTCCCTACAACAAGCTCCCTTCTCGCGGGAGTCTCGTCTCTGGTCACCGCGGTTCTCTCGTCAGTTTTATGCGCGCTGCCTCAACCCTTCGCCTCCTCCCCTCGTCTCTCCTCCTTGTTCGTGTGTTTGGGTTCGATGGGTCTCTCCGCCGGAAAAAACTGAAACCAGAGGCGTTTTTGGTCTCTCTGGAATACGAACGAGGTCTGACTAGTCAAGGTAAGCTTCGGGAGGCCTAGATCTACCTTTAGTCACTGATTGCGCTTGGATCTGGGTCAGATCTGAGATCTGAGTCTCGCCGGAATGCACGACGCGTCGCTGCCGTCACCGCTTCTGGCTCATCGTCTCACTCCAGTTAGTCTCCTCTTGTGTAGTTCCATGGTTGTAGTAGAGCTTCTCCTCTCTTTATCGAGTGAAAGGTGGATATGAGGCAATCCACCGAGAACCTCTTTTCCTTAGTTCAAAAGACGACAACCGTGGTGCTCGTTGTTGGTAATCAATTGGCTTCTCTTTCCTGCTCCTGATGCCATTTTACTTGGGTTTTGAGGACTACCCGTTGTGAAGGCATCTCCCGCATTAAGGCGGAGCTCTCTCTTGCTGATTTGAGTGCTCGTTTTTGAGGAGTTATGGCTCTTCTTGCGCTTCATTTCCCTTGTTCCGTAGCTCCGACAGTTGGTTTAGTGTGCCATCTGAGTCTTTGCCGCATCTCATGTGTCGCGTGGCCGGTTGGGGAGCAATTTTGTACCGCCTACGCTTGACCAGTAACCCGAGTTTCCATTGTCAGCAGCTTTGATTTGGGTTGGTACTTTTATCTACTGTCGAGAAAGCTTGGGTTTGTTTGGTTGACGTCCTCCTCCAGTAGGGTTCCGGGGTGGGAGCCAGACACCTCCGTTGAAGCTGATTGGAGCCACTTCGGTGAGTGCTCGACTGAAGTCTCCTTCGAGCTTTTCTTTTGCCTCTTCAGGATTGCTTCTGTTATAGCAAGAAGCGCTTCGGACATGGAGTATCATACTGTTTTCTTTGTTCTATTTGTCATATTAATTTCAAGCTTTCTACTGTTAGAAGCTTGGACTTGATAATCTAGGTTCTTAGGGGTTTTTTAAATTTTTTGCGGCTCCTTAGAATCAAATGGCTGTCTCAGCAGAATGTGGTTTCAGATTCAATTTGTAACCGAACTTTCATTACTAGTAATGACATTTACAATTTAGCAAAAACAAATTTTCATAATTTAATAATTTGCTTGAAATATTGTGCAGAAATGTAAAAGTCGCTAAAACAAACTAAATAGTTTCCAAATGAATTAACAATATTTCTGGTTTTATAAAAAGCCATATAGTTTAACCAAACTGGAAAGGTTCATCTTTTGACGAACCAAAATGTAAAAGTCGCTAAAACAAACTTAATAGTTTCTATAATAGCTCGACCTCGACCAGGTTCGTTCCTGAATAGGGACCAATAAAGCATGTGCTTCATGGCCGACCAAGAATATATACTTGCCGGGGCCAGTAATAACAAAAAAAAAAGGATCATATATCTCTATTGGTAACAGCTGCCATTGTTAGAGTTACAGACCTTATTTCAAACAACTACCACTGCATATTTTAGTGTTTTTACGATTTTTAAAAGTAAATGGGTCAAAAAAATTTGCTTGTGGATCAATAATTATCAGGCACGGCTATGGCTCGACCATTAATGTTTTGTATGACACGATTCTCAACTTTTCATATGTAATCTCCGAAACTAATGTGGATTACAACTTGGGATCTCCTGGTGTAAAAATAGATAATGTATGAGGTTTCTTAGATTTTTCATAAAATACATTGAATAGTTGAGGAGCGCAATGTATTGATGGAGTAAGGTTATGCCAAATGAGAGGGAGACTAGCATGTGTTGTGTAGTCTTTCATATCCATCTTTATCAACCCATTTAGGGTAACGTGATAGAGATATAAGAAGACTATGTACACATTACATATTCATATTTATGTGAGAATAAATGCTTATGTACATCCACTTGTAAGATGCTTTAATTTCTATTTTACTTTCTTTAATTATCTGGTAATTAGGATATTTTATTCCAACACGATTCTATGTGATTCCAAGCGCTTCCGTTTCCGCTGTAGCGTGAAACACACAACCACGTACGCTTCCATGCTTCCTAGCTAGTTCTCTTTCATGTGA